ATTGTTAAGCTAAAAAGTCACACTTTCCTGTCTCATGAAACATCACATTGCTTCCACATTTCTTGGACCCTGGCCGCTGTTCCTAAACTTCCTGCCGTTGCATATCAACAGCTCAGATTCCACCCTGAGGTAGAGTTCATTGATATATAATTATGGTAACATGAAAGTACAATGTACTCAGGCTTGGCAAACAAGTCCTAGTGTTTTAGATTACATGATGTGAAAAGAATTTGAGATGACAAGGTTAAAACTTTCTCTGTATAGTCTTGTCAGTTATTCAACTAGCTCATGCTTCAACATTTCAGGAGTGTAATTCAACAATTTTTTTTTCACAATTTCTTCGTACTCTTAAGTGGAATCTCTCTCTTGCCCTCATCCTGCCCTCCAAAGTTGAATAACCCATATTTGATTCTCTTCTGTATAAACAATGTTTAAAAATAACAGAAGACAGAGCTGGGCAAGTCATTAGCGATAGAGCACTTGCCTAGTATGCACAAAGCCCTTGGTTCAATCTCTAGCATTAAAAACAATGAAGGTAGATCCTCACTACCTTGTTTCATTTACAGTTTGCCATGAAGTCTATCCGCCCTCTGACCTATGATAGACACCCTAAATGTGAGATATTTCTACACATTATTTTCTTTTAACACTACATAGAGGCAAAAATCATAAATCTGAGTCCTAGATTATATATTCCTTTGCATTGCCATGTTATCATATTGTAAAAAAAAAAAAAAAAAAAGCAAGAACATTTGTGTAAGCCTTTCTTTGTGTGTGGTCATGGTGATGGTATTAGGAATTGAACCTGGAGCCTTGGAACTGAGCTACATCTCCAGCACTTTTTATTTTTTACAGTGTAACACATTTTGCTAAGTCACTGAATTGCCCAGATTGGCTAGAAGCTGCAATCCTCCTGCCTCTACCTCCCAGAATGCTGGGATTACAGGCCAGCACCATCATTTAAGCCTCTTTCTTTTAATCTAAAAAAGTGAAAATGAAAACATATCAATGATGCTTGCTCAGGTGCTTATATAGCTATCAAAACTACTCATAAAAAGGATAGATACAGTCTTGTAAAGTAGTACATATACATTACCTGCTGTATATCACAGTAGAAGTAAAATCTCATCATGAGTTTCTGTTTTCTAAGGTAAATTAGGACTTTCTTTGTTTGATTGGCAAATTTGGCCACATACATTGGAATTCAACATCAGTAACTCCTTTGGAATGATAGCAAATGAAAATGATTACTCTGGGGAATAAAACTATTTATAATGGCAATTACCTAGCCAGTTTTTTTGTTTTGTTTTGCTTTGGTTGTTTTTGGTTTTTGGTAGCACTGATATTTATTAGGATGTGCCCTAATACAGGCGCTGGGGCTGCCCATAGTGCTCTTGATGTACAGGACCTGGACATTCTGCCAGTTCTTCCTGAGCAGTGACACCAGGAAGTGGATGGCCAGATGGATGTTGTACACAAGCTCATCATCTGTCATCTTCACTTGACCAGCAGCCACAGCCAGACCCAGGACCTTCTTCATCTGGAACTTGATCATGGACTTCACTTTTTCAACTTTGGCCACCATGTTTTCATCGTGGGTCAGCAGGAAAGGGAACTTGCCAGCCTTATTGAGGCCAAGTCCCAGGATTCTGGGATCTGCTTGGCGAGGGACTCAGAGGCCAGAAAGGCATCATACTTCTTGGCCAGCTTTTCAACCAGCTTCTTATTCTTGTTGAGCTTCTTCAGTGCCTTAATGTCCACGTGGGGGATGTCCATGGCCTTGGCCTCGTCACAGTGCTGCTGGTCTCCCAGGGCGCACCCGGAGAACTTGGGGTGGGGCATGGACTTCAGCCTGACGGTGCAGGAGAAGCCCATGTCCTTCTGAGGGTCATAGTTCTTCAAGCTGATCTGCACCTCCGCAGTGTCTAAAAACTTCTGGCGTTTGTGCTGGTTCCTGTGCAGGACCTCACGCACTGCCTAGGACAGGGTGTCGCGGGAGACTTTGCTGCTCACGGTTCCTTGCCCTGAGGAAACTGGAAAGCCTGTTTTTTTTTGTTTTGTTTTGTTTTGTTTTAATACTGCAATACGACAGAGCTGGAGGTGTAGCAACTTCCCTCTATACTAGCCAGTCCTCTACATCTCAGACAGCTTTATCATAGCTCCTTTCCCAGCTGAGCTCAAAGTCTGGTTGCATTATTCCAATGTGTTTCCACTTCTGGAGTCTTTGGGTCTGTCAGCTAAATTTTAACACTGAAGCTTTGGGCAGAGGTAGCTAAATTCCCTCTATATCTTTGAAGACTATTAAAAAGTCATTATCTTAAAAGACTAAGTTGCAGAGTCCTTTCTATTTCCTAGTTCTGCTGCCCTGTTATGGATGGCTTCAAGTCAAAAACAGGCTTCCTGGGTTGGGTTGGAGATTTAGCTCAGTAGTGTAGTGCCTGCTTGGCAAGTGTGAGGTCCTAAGTTCAATTCCTGACTCCAAAAATAAACAAAAGTTCCCAATATGGAATCACCTCCTTCCATTTTCAAGGATCAATGTGACACAATTAAACACCCCATTTAACTCCAAACATTATAGGGTATCTTATCTACTCCTTCATAGCATACTCAGGTCCTAGGGCACTTCTTTCCACTTCAAGAGGTCTCTCATCAAAGAGAGAGAGAGACAGAGACAGAGAGAGAGAGAGACAGGGAGAGACAGAGAGAGACAGAGAGACAGAGAGAGAGAGAGAGAGAGAGAGAGAGAGAGAGAGAGGAGAAGGAGGAGGAGGAGAAGGAGAAGGAGAAAAAGGAGACAGAAGAGAGAGAGAGAGAGAGAGAGAGAAGAAGAAAGGGAAAAAGAAAAAATCCTTTCACTTAACTCATCTTTTTCCAATCCCTTTTATTGAAAAATTTCTCACTTTTCTCATATTTCATTTTTCCTGGAGTCCATTTCAAACATGGGATCACCCTTGTCACTCTGCACTGTCTTTTCTTAATACCCTTTCTTGGTTTGCCCTCCAAGACATCTTACTTTCTGCTTTTCTTTCTTCCTGGTGGTTCCTGGCAGACTCCTTTGTTCTTCATCCTGATTTCTGCACTTATTCTACTAAGCCATCTCCCCGGCCCACTAAAGAATATTTATTAGTGCATTGTTGTTGTTTTTTAGAAGACTTTTAATTTTATTTTATTGAGAAACAAGTAGCAATAAGACAGTTTCAAACCTGATTAATAAGACAATTTCAATAATTAATACATTGCACATTGTTATCTTCTTAGTGGTTATCCATAGTACAAGATGCAGACAGAACATCCAGTCTAAACACTATTAGTACAAATCTTTCTTCTCATTGAATTATGTGAAAGTAGCTGTATATCTATCCTAACTATTCTGCATATACAGATACAAAATGGTCCTTCCTTTGTATTCCATTCTTTTGTTTAGTCCTGTCAGAAATGGGTATTTCATTGGCATCTAAATACTATAGGTAGATAAATTCAGCAAAACAATCCAACACAGTCCAGCAGTCCAAAATAGTAGTGGGTTATCCACAGAAGTTGTTGACTTGAGCCTTTCACAGCTCAGCATATTAATGTGGCATATTTATTTTATATACCTTGTTTCTATACTTTTCTGCTGGATAGATAAGACTAAGATAAAGGAAGACCCATATAACAAGAAATATAACTTTGTATCTGATAAGGCCGGTCATGTCCCTTCAGGATTTATCCTGTAACCCTGTACTGCAGGTTGCAGATCATTTGTCAGTGTCAGCCATGTGGATGAGTCACAGCCATTGCTTGATCAATTTGCTCTCTGTGAAAGTGAAAGCCTGAGAGAATGTTTTCTCTCCAGGTGACTCTCCTTAGGCACACTGTATGTCATCAATCATGTTGCTCTGTGGCCCCATAATATCCTTGATCAGAAAATTTGGGACACAAGTGAGTTACATGATGTTACAGTATAGGTTCAGGTTTTTGAAACTAGCAGTTAATTGGTAGGATTCTCACCCTGACTAAACTATACATGCTGATACCTGTGAACCAAGCAATGTCTACACTTAAGACAGCAATGTGTAATAGAAGGGTCATGCTTGGAATGCCTATCATTCTGGTCTTCTAAATACGTACTTCTTGTCATGACATACCAATTATGACCATACTGTCTCACAAGTAAAAGTTTTTTTTTTTTTTTTTTAAGGGGAAAAAAATAAAAAAAAAAAAAAAAAAAAAAAAAAAAAAAAAAAAAACAAACAAGAAATGTCACAGAACTGTCCTGCTATAATACTGTGTATGGTTAGATTTCTAAATTTCTGTGTAAAAATATGCAATTGTTTATTCATATCTTTAAATGTTTTTCATTAAAAAAAATTTTATCTCCATATTCTGTAGGGACTGAATGTTTAACATATCAATACTTGATGGAAAATACTTGTTCAATGTTATGCCTAAGATGTTTGATATTCAGACAGATACTGAAGTTATACCCAACTGCATATGTTGTAGGGTAATAATAAGCTTCTCTTCTGGAGGGTTAACAACCTGAGTTTGCAGACCAAAAATTAGAGAAATAGAAGAGCTGCAAGGACAGCCAACATTTTGACCCTAGCCTTTCAAGGTCAGTGAAAACTCAGGAAATAGGTAGATTTTTTTTTTTTTTTTTTTACTGGGAATTGAACTTGGGACCTTCAGATTACTAGGTAGGCACTTCTTCAGCTGAGCTATATCCCCAGCCTGCCCCTAGGTGGTATCTTCCATAATATTTAATTTGATTGCCATCTATGATGACTTCCAGATATTAAATTCTAAACTCATCCAAATATGCACTAAAAACATGCAATCTAAATTCATGCATATTCTTGTCCATCTGAAGGCCTGGACCTTTTCTATTCTTTTTTTTTTTGGGGGGGGGTACTGGGGGTCAAACTCTGTATCTTGTACTTGCAAGGCAGATGCTTATGCTGCTAAGCTATCTCCCCAACCCTGGACTTTCAATTTAACAACTGTAAAAGCCAACCTACCTTACCAATGTTGATTCTTTTTAAGAGTCTCATCTCAGCAAACGACATCTCCATTCACCTAGCACATCAAACCAAAAGCTTAATAATTATTCTTGAATCATCCTGCTATAAGCAACTTAGTAGATAAAAATATTCAAGTAAGTCAGACAGGGCTAGGCCTTTGAAAGAACCATATGGAAGACAATATACCTTACAAATGTGGGAGACACAGACACTTCTACTGTGGGCCAGACCTCAGGACAAAAGATTGAATAAATGCATCCACATACTTCCCTAGTGATGTATATCAATGTATATCATTGATATTCTAAATATGTATATATCATCTTGAGAAAAGCTAGGAAAAGTCACTAACCTAACCCAGCTCCCAGGTTGGGAGTTTCTTTCCCCTACATCATTTATAGGTCTTTCACCAAGATCATTTGATGGAAAAATGGGGGGCTCAAAGTCAAGGTGTCTTACTCTTTTACAAAGCATTCTTTTTTTATTTTATTTTATTTATTTATTTTTATGTATTTGGTACAGGATCTGCAGGGTCTACAGAGTCTCACTACATAGATCAGACATGTAGTGATCCTCCTGTTTTCAGCCTCCCAAGTGCTGGGATTCCAGGCATATACCACCACACCCAGTCTCAATTGACGTTTCAGCTTGACCCAGGGGCAGGGCCAGCACTGCACACAGGGGATCAAACCCCAGGCACTGTACTCTGCCTAAGCAGGTGCTTTAGTCCACTGAGTTGTCTGGCCAGCCCTACAATGCATTTTTAAGCACCAGAAGATGTTTGACTCTTATGTGTTAAAAGGAGCTGTATAGGGGCCAGGGAGATGGCTCAGTGGAATAAGCGCTTCCCTGGCAAGTGCAAGGGCCTGAGTTCAATCCCTGGTTCCACACACACACACACACAAAGGAGCTGTATGACATTTTTCTGCACGTACACATGGCCGGCCTACCCACTATTACCAAAATGGAACACAAAGGAAGCATTAATTATGATGCTGTTTTACAATGAGAATCATACTGTAGCAAAGGAGGGAAGGGTCAGAACTGCCTTATATTGAAAATGTCTTTACATTAAGAAGTAATTCTTGGGCCGGGGAGATGGCTCAGTGGAATAAGCACTTCCCTGGCAAGCGCAAGGACCTGAGTTTTATCCCTGGTTCAGAAAAAAAAAAAAAAAAGAAGAAGAAGTAATGCTTACTTATGCTCAAGGTACAATTCTTATCCATATGAGGCTGCCCACATTCATATGTCTCTTTCAGTGACCTAAAGCAGATTAAGCTAGATCTAGGAAAATTTTCACATGACCCTGATAAGTACACTAAGTTCTTTAGAGGATTTACTCAGATCTATGTGCTAGACAGGAAAGATATAATGTTAATCTTAATCCACACAGACTTCTAGCAAAAGACAAGTAACATTACAACCTGCTATTACATTTGGGGATAAATATCATGTTGTTAACTTTAGACGGCCAAAAGACAGCCAGCCAGTAGAACAACCAGTTCCCACGGGAGCCCAAGCAGTCCCTACCCAAGACCCTTCGCAATCAGACAGGAGACAGGAACAAGAGTCATTTTCAAGTATGTGTTCTTGAAGGTCTTGAAAGAGAAAACCCAATCGCTCTAATTATTTTAACTTTTCAACTATTTATCAGGAGAAAGAGGAAAATCTCTCTACCTTCTTAAACTGTTTATGAGACGCACTGCTTAAACATATGTCCATATCTCCTGATTCAATAGAAGGGAAGATTTTGCTTAAAGACACATTTATTTCCCAGTCAGCCCCAAATATTAAGAAAAAGTTACCAAAGATAGCCTTTGCTCTAGAGAGTTCATGTTGATACTTCAGCAAAAATTGCCTGCTTAGTATTCTATAATTGAGACTTGGAAAAAGTCAAGGAGAGAAAACAGAGAGACCAAAAAGCAACCGCCTTTGTTACAGGCTTAAAAAGAACTGACCCTAAGTCTGATGCTCAGGGCTTCAAGAAAAACTAATGACTAGGCTCAACTGCTACGACTGTAAGAAGTCAGACCACCTTAAGAAGGACTCTCTTAAGAGCCCCCCCCCCCATCCTCCAGGCCCTGAATGCAAAGGCAAAACTTGAAAGCAAGACTGCACTGTTTGGCAGAAAGCCCCAGGCACCAGACTCTTCTTGTCTAGCAAAACTAAAGGCACTGAAGCACTCTGCCTACTCCACTGGCCAGACTGTCATTTCTACCTGTCACCTCTATGAAGGATCCCTGGGTTATGATGACTATAAAGAGGGGAAAGATCAACCAATTTCTGGACACTAGCACATATCTCTTTGTCCTTCTCCAACTCTGGCCTTTCTTCCAGCTGTCTTACTTCAATAAAAGGAGTTAGCAGGAAAAATAACTTGTTTGAACTGTTACTGGAATACCTTTTCTCCTTACCCACTCCTTTTAGTTATACCTAGAAACCCAGTTTCCATCTTGGGGAGAGATTTTGTCCTGTTTAAATACCAATATACATATTGCCAACTAATCAAAATTATGCTGCCTGGTTTTACTAGTATGTTGTTATAATCTTATTCTCATAAGTCATCAAAATTTTTGAGATGGGGCCAGGGAGATGGCTCAGTGGAATAAGTGCTTCCCTGGCAAGCTCAAGGGCCTGAGTTCAATTCCTGGTTCTGAAAAAAAAAAAAAAGATATTACAAAAAAAATTTTTTTTGAGATAATTATAGCTAAAACTGGTGGAACTCATGATAAAATATCAGACTCCATCAGTAAGGGGTCTAAAAGTCAATGGGTTACAAATGTTATTCTAGTCTCTTAAAAAGTTTCTAGATTTGTCTGTCAGCTTTAATTCTCATGGTTGATTAACATATTCTAATTTCTCAAAATATTTTTTAATCTTGCTTAGAAGCTGCCAAACTCCAAGTGATCATACAGATTAAACCAATAACAAATACGCTAGATTCCTTTCAGATTCCTTTTACTGGGATCCACCAGATCTTGTCCAGAGAGAGGGTTAAATGACACATATTGAGGCCTTAGCTACTTAACAGGCCTTATGGCACTACAGCTGGTCTCTCTCTCCTCAATAAAAAATTAAAATTAATGAGACAAGCCATCCTCCAAAATCAGTCAGCACTGTACATTCTAACAGTAACACATGGGGATACCTGCACAACTGTAAAAAACTAAATATTGTGTATATATTCCTGATTCTTCATATTCCTGATTCTTCTACTAAGATCCCAATAGCTGCTCAAGATACTAGATGACAAATTAATGACATGTCAGACACTGAAATTCCCTTGACCTTATCCTCATCCTCTTTATGGAAAGCTATTTTTAGTTCTTCCTGATGAAAATCTTTGTTGGCTGTCTTCATAACTATCCTGTTGATATTATTTGGCCCATGCATATTTAATTGTTTCTTTGGCTTTGTCTCTTGCAGACTTAAAGCTATATGCCTACCCAAGATGAAAATGCCTTCTGTCTATTGAGGGCCTTAGATAGATCCTCTGAAGAGTCTCTGTAATTGCTGATCAACAATTGTGACCCCTTCAGCCTGAAGAAGCCCAAGCAGTCATTGCCCATCACTCCCTCAGAGCAGTTTGGGGTACTTCTTCAGAGGGGGGAATGTTACAGGCAGCTAAGTTAGATAGAAATATTATATGCATTCAGATATGGCTAGGTGCTTAAAGGAGCCAGTGCAAACAATGAGATACCCTGCAACTGTGAGGGGGACAGACATCTCTTCGGAGGGCCAGACTTCAAGACAAAAGATGAACTGAATGCACCCGCATAGATTTCATAAGGACAAACAGCAGGGATTGATAACCTAAATAGGTATTGATCACCTTGGGGAAGCTGGGAAGAGCCACTGATCCAATTCCTTACAGAAAGAGTTCTAGGTCGCTACTTGTTTTGCTCTACGAATACTCTAGAAACAGCAGGTTCCAAGGTAATCTGCTCAGGATCCCTTCTCTCTCTCCCAAACAGAAGCTTTCTTTCTTCCAGTAAATATATTCTGCTCTAAAACAAACAAACAAACAAACAAACAAAAAAACAAAAAAACAAAAAAACCCTGCCATACTGAGGCATATTGTTGATACTATCCAATACTTTACTTACTGTATTTGCTATTACAGTTTAGATCACGTGCTCAGAGATGGGCTATTGGAAGGTGACTCAGTCACCACAGGACTGTGCTCATAGTTAATTGGCCCATAACAAATGTGCCATTGGGAAATGGGGCCTGGCTGGAAGAGGTGTGTCCCTGAGGTTCACCCTTGGGGTTCACCTCCCTCCCTAACTCCTCCTTTCTCTGTCTGCTTCCTGGCTACCATGGACTGAGCGGTTTTCCTCCACCAGACCCTTCCATTGAGTCATTTCTGCCTTAGAGTCAGCCAACCATTGGCAGAACTCCTGAGACTATGAAGCAAAATAAATCTCTTCTCCTTTTAAATTATGGGTGTATTGTGTCCCAGGGACAGGAAAATGAGTAACCCAGTCATAATGTGTCTTCTTCGGAACTAATTTCTTTCTAAAGTCCTCTGGAAAATGATTATTCAAGAAGTTATTGCTTAATTTCCATGTATATACACAATTCTTGTGGCTTATTTTACCTTTACTCTGTAGTTTCATTGCACTATGATCTGATATTATTCATGAGATAATTTCAATTCTTTTGTATGTATTTAAGCATGCTTTATGGACTAGTATGAGGTCTATTTTGGAGAAAGTCCCATGTGATATTGAGAAGAATGTATATTTTGATGTAGTTGTGGGGAACACTCTATAGATGTTTATTAAGTCTATTTATTTAAAAGTTTTTGTTCAACTCTGATATATCCTTTTTGATTTTGATTTTTTTTTGTCCAGTTGATTTATTTGTGACAGTGGGGTATTGAAGAATCTATTACAATTGGTTTTGGGTTTGACTTTTCACATCCAGCGTTTTTATTCTATGAAAATGGACAGGCCAATGTTTGGTGCATATATGTTTATAATTGTCTCTTTTTGTTGAATTGTTCCCTTAACCAATATATAACGACCTTCTCTGCCTCTTCTGATCAAAGAGGTTTTGACTTGAAATTCACTTTGCCTGAAATTCAGATAGTTATTCCTGCTTTTTTCCAGGTTTCTATTACACAGAATTTTGTTTTCTATCTTTTGATTTTTAATCTTTATGCTCTTTTTGGGTTAAATGTGTTTTTGTTTTTTTTTTTTTTTTTTTTTTTTTTTTAGCAGAAGGGGGGGATTGAACTCAGGTCCTTGAACTTGCCAGACAAGCACTTATTCTACTGAGCTATCTCCCTGGCCCGTTAAATGTGCTTTTTATATAATATGTATTGCTGTGTTTGTTTCTTGATCTATTCTGCAAGTCTGTTTTTTTTTTTTTAAATCTTTGTTTTTTAATTGGAGAACTTAGACCCTGCACACTGAGACTTATTGATGTATTCCTGTCATTGCATTACTTTCTTTTTGCTGGTTCCCAACCAACACCACCCCTTTCTGCTTAACTGTTTACCTACTGCATGGTTTATTCATTCCATTAGATGTTAGCAGCAAATGTGTAATTACTCTTAACATAACTCTACATTTGTTTGTTTGTATTAAATACTTGTGATTCCTACCCATTTGTAAGCAGGAGTTGGCATCTACAAAAACCTAGCAATCTGCCTCCTAAAAAACTTCAGACTTGCACTCAGAATTGTATACTTTGAATGCTTTGCTGGATAGCTGTCATCTGTGATGTCTAGAGTAAGAACCTTTCCACCTCCAAAGTAATCCCAGTGCCAAATGGCATCTTTATCCTGAATGAAATTAAATAACTTTCACATTTTGTTTGATAGAGTTGGTGGGATACTAACAATGGTGTTAGCAGTGCACTGTTTTGCCAAAGCAGTGGGCATTCATATTCTCAATTGTAGAATCAACAATAGATGACTTCTGTCTGACAGATAAAAAGAATGTTTCATAGAACAGGTCAAGCTACACATAAACTACTACTCCTGTATTACTACTAAACCAACTTTCATACGAATTATAGCAGGAGCTCAGCTTTGAACAGTTCAGAAAAAGGAAAGGAATAACTAATGTCAAAATCAAAGAACTAATAAGAGAAATGGCACCCCAAAAATGTGGTCAGAGAAAAGAGCCAGACAAGAAAGAGAGATGGGAAAGAAGGAAAATGGCAAGCGAGGTAAAACAACCTTCCCAGAATGAACAGTGAAAGTGAAAGTGAGCGCTAGCCAGAAAGCCTGCTTCCTTGACCAGAAAAGAAGGAAACAAAGGCAGATTAAACCTGAAAATAAATCAAATATAACTGAAGACAAAACTAGAACTCAGACAAAAATTTTAAGAACACAACGTTCTCATTGTTATTGAAATCCAAATTTGCAATAACAGGAAAGCCAAGCAGATAGCCAGTGTTTACTCAAAAGATTTCCCTAAGAAACAAAACATAATTATGAAAGCAGAGGCCTCCTTACAAAGAAAAAGGCATCGCAAAACTAGGCCAACTCAAGGCCAGGCAGAGGTCACAGCAGAGAACGAACAGCTCTCTCCTCCCAACCTTTTCACGTTATGGAGAGGCAGGTGCCTGTGCATCTTCATCTCTGTTCCTGTTAGTAACCAGCACACAGACTGAAAGTGGTAAGAAAGCAAAAACAATAAAAATAAATAAAACTATGTTCTTCCTTTGCTTCTAAGAAGCTTGAGGTAACAGACACATTGTTGGTGAAAAGTTAGGGAGTGGAGACTGAAGCTGAACATTACAGATTGGCTGAATGCTGTCTATGAGCTAGCTGACTGACGGCAGGAATTTGCTTCCCCACATTTGTTCTTCCTTCTTCTCTTGTGATCCCAGAACACTGACCCTCCACAAATTCACATTTGTGTGTGGGTGAGGGGTAGAAGTATTTGGACTTTTCGAGAAAGACCTGTCATTGGATGACGAAGTTCATCTTTCATAGCTTCATGTTCCTGAGACAAAAGGGGCCAGCTCTCTTGGTGATGTATAGCATTGTACCCTAAGGACTGCGCAGCTCAGCTGGCAGGTGCAGACCAGAGTCTTGTACAAGCGGATTTCTTAGGTGCCTTATAGTGGATTTTTATTTTTCAATAAATAAAAATTGGTGAGGGTGGAAGGCAGTCTTTTATTGTTCTTACCAGGAATCATTATCTCTGTAACTGCCATCCTGCCTCCAGTGTGTATTTTCATTTCTAAATTGCTTGCACTTCTGCTTTTGTATTTTATCTTAACAGTTTTTTCCTCTCAGGGCATACTGGGAATTAAAGCGAGCGCCCTGTACACATAACAGCCCCACTTCCACTTCTTAAGAGTTGACTTTTTTTTTTTTTTTTGGCGGAACTGAGGGTTGAACTCAGGCCCTTGCCAGGGAAGCAATTATTCTACTGAGCCACCTCCCTGGCCCCAACAGCTTACTCTTTAAGACACTACAAAAGATCTCAACCTGTGTTTAAAATATCAAATACTTGACACCAACAATTATGCCTACTATAATCCATACAGTTACTTTTTGGTAAAGTAAATTTACCATCCAAACAACCCTCTTTGCTCCAGTTAAGCTTCTCATGATCAAAATAGGGAAGTGTGACTGTTTCACCTGGATGTCCTTAGTTTTAGAGTCTTCGTAGCCAAAACCTCCTGCCCTCCCATTCACTCTTTGGTTTAAACACTTTACTCTCTCAGTGCCTAAGCATTCTTGCACTTGCCTGCATCCTTGAGCCACATCGGCATCACCTGTAAGACCCATTTCAAATTGCATCCTCTTTTCCCACAACCCTCCTTTGAATTCCTGTAACACATAAGGTCATCAACACTTAGCATATGGTGCTTTTCACATATTGTACTGTTTCTTTTTTCTTCCTTTTCTTTTTTTTTTTTTTTTTTTTTTTTTTTTTTTTTTTTTTTTTTTTTTTGTGGTACCAGGGAATGAACTCAGGACTTTGTGCTTGCCAGGCAGACACTTATGCTTCTTTTTTTAATCATGCCTTTTGAGGGAAAAGGCAACACAAATCTTATTTATTTATTTATTTTTTATGTTTGGTTGTTGCAGTGTCTCATTACACAGCTCGTACTCGTGGTGATCCTCCTGCTTTCAGCCTCCCCAGCGCTGGGATTACAAACATGTGCCATCATGCCTGGAGGCAGGGCCGATGAGACATGTGGTACCAGGGATGGAACCGAGATTCCTGTGCTTGCCTAAGCTAGCCTAAGCAGGAGCTGTAGTCCGCTTAGCTATCTCCCTACCCTGGCAACACAAATCCTAAGTGGAGAAAGGCAATTCTAAACAGTGATACAAGAAAAAAGAAAAAAAAATAGAATAAAACCAGCTGTAATCATCAGAGAGCACAAAACTTGGCCTTCTTTTTACTTATAAACTATCTTGCATCTAGATTGCAAACTCTTACTCATGCAGGGTTAATAAACGTTTACTGATGTTGATAAAGATTACCATGCTAGGATCAAGAAAAAAAGCCTGACTTGACTGTGTATGTTGAAGCCATCCATGACTCAGAGAAACCAAGCCATTTTTCAGGCATTCTGCAGGCCCCTAGAAAAGAATGGTGTTATGGTTTGTGCCTAGTTTACCCCACAAAGCCTCATACAGTCATGGGATGGACTTCTACAGTTTGTGATTAACTTGTGATCCACTGGGATTATGGGTGTCAGTGGTGCTTGGATTATGGGTCTGAGTGCTGCTGGGGTTATGGGTGTGAGTGCTACACCCATCCTGGGGTGGATAGCCTGAATGCAACTGAAGGGAGACGGATGTGCTTGTGCTTTCTGCCACCATCGTTGCCTCTACTCCTCCCTTTGCTCTCTGCTCTTTGCCACGACCATGAAATGTTGCTCTCTGCCATGTGCCACTCTGCCTTGGAGTCAGTTGAGTGTAGACTGAAACCTCCATTAACCGTGAGCTAAATAAACATTTCCTTCCTTCACTTTGGGTGTTGGGTATTTGTCCAAGCAATGAGAGAAGAGTAACTGAGACAAATGGACTCCTCACTAGTTTTTTTTTTTGTTTTTTTTTTTTTCTCTGTATTTAAGGGAAAGATGTAGAGGGTGTTCAGGGTACTAGATCAGACTCATAGTGATCTGCCTGTTTACAGCCTTCCAAGTTCTGGGATTACAGGCATGTGCCACCACTCCCAGTCTCAATTGCTGTCTCAGCACAACCCCAGGGGCAGAGCCAGCATGGCAGGCTCAGGGACCAAACCAGGCCCAGGGATCAAACCTGGCCCCTGTACCTGCTCACAGGCACTTTAATCCTCTGAGCTATTTGGCCGGCACCCTCACTAGTTTTATTGAAGAACTTCATTTGTCTAGGAAATGCTTCCAGACTTAGTTCCCTAAACTTAGCTTCATAATTCTCTTGCTTTCCTATACTGATAGATTCTGTTTGGGCTTGATTGATTGGCCCTTTAAAGCTGAAAGCACTTCATAAACAAAATGTAGTATCAATGGACTATTTGGTTAGATTTCTGGTACCAAAAAAAAGAAAAGAAAAAGAAATATTTGGCCATACATAGAACAGTACTATTGTGGTATGTGCTACAATATGGTTAAAGTTTGAAAATATTATGTGAAGTGAAAGAAGTCAGTCATAAAGTCTACATGATTCCACATAAACCTATTCATATGAAAGCCCAAAACAGTTAAACATATAGAAAAAGAATATAGTGACCTGGGCCCTCCAAAGTACGGGGTGGTGAAGAGGCTGGAGTGGCTATCATTTCTTTTGACATAATGAAATGTTCAAAATGAACTGGTAAGAGTTTCATCTGTGTGAATATACTAAATATTATACACTGTACATGGGTGAACTTGATGGTATACGAATTTTATCTCAATACAGATTTTTTAAAAAAGACTTCACACAGTACACACAAACTTAGTATACTTACTAAATCTAAAAAGCTAAAGATAATAATTAATACTAATTTTTCTTTGTTTAGCAATGTGAACATTGTTTTAAATAAGTTATTGAAGTCAAATTAAACAACTTACCCTTATCAAGCTTATTGTTTTGTAGCCAAATAAATTAAAAAATATACTTTAGACAGATTGAGAAGCCTAACAGTTATTTATATTAGCATCATTGTAACTAACATAATTTTTGTTACAATTATCATAATCTATAGTGAATAAATATTTTTCTTAAATTTGAACTTTATAATAAACTCAGTTATTCAACAGTATAAAAAATCGTATCCTAGTAATCACAATAAATAATGGCAGGTAATTTGATTTATTTTTTTGTAGTCATTCTTAATCATAATCATTTTTATGAGGACTATTTGAGATTAAAAATCAATGAAAACTGAAAATCTGCCTACTAAAATCTGTCTGTGGCTATTCACTATTCAGTATCTTTGGGGCACTACATTCTGTGATATGTTTAGAATTTAGTTTTAATCTGTAGGAAAATCTGTCTGATAAAACTTTACTAAGAAACTCACAAGGGCAGATGTTCTACTGATCTTTTCTTAAAATATAAATCAGATCATTTTCAAAAAGTACCAATGGCTTTACATTGTCCTTAGGATAAGTCTTGGCATATTTGATTTGCCTGCCTCTTAATACCTCTAAGACAAGCGAGCCTTTTGCTTTCCTCTCTGCATTTCTCAACATGATTTATTCAGGTTGGCCTTTCCTTTAATCTTCTTTTCCCTTTGTATCTTGGGCTTCCAAAGCACAATTCTATTTATGGGAATGTCTTGTTTTTGCTTTCCTTTTAATTGTTGCCAAAATGCATTTTCCTCAGAAAAGCCAACACTATTCTCCCACTGAGATTAGGACTCATTCATAAATTTTATCATAGTGTGTTGTAATATTCCTTAAACTTGTATAATTAATCCTTTATCATTGAATGTTTAGGTAGATACTGAATCACAGTGAAGAAAATATTTTCTATGCTTTAATACACATGTAATAAATGCATAATAAACATGTGGAATGAATAAACAAACCTCAAATGAAAAAAAAAAAAAGCTAAAGATACCTTAGTATCATATCCCAGGTATCTCAAAGACATGTCTCAGGTGACACAGTGATGGTTCCTAGCCAAGCAGCTCTCTGCTCAGCCTTCCAGTCACTTCTGTCACCAGCACACTCCACGCCAATGACCTGTGCACATACCGCAGTTTCAAGTCTATACTTGAGTTTGTTCAGATGTAAAATCCTCTTCCTTTTATCCCTCAAAACTGAGCTCAGAGGCTGTGAGAATAGCTCTTGGGTTCAAGAGTACGCACAAAGCTGACTTGTGTCTATTTTATGTCTTACATGGAACGTGCTTCATCAGTATCCTAAGGTAGTGGGCCACTTGAGAGGAACACTTTTATATTTTCCATTTAGCATTTTATTAGACAAGTGTGACACAAATAAATACTCAAGGATTAAGATAACTATGAGCCATACCATTACATGAACAAGTTATAATGTGTATCCAAAGGAAGCACAGCACTTTCCTATAAACTGGAAACAAGTAATACATTCTGGCAGATTGTCTGGAGGTCCAAGGAGAGTTGCATGGTGTATAGAGGTACTAAGAACTGATGAACAGTAGTGATACACCCATTTGAGGATGATTTTTCTTTGGGCTAGGCTCATCTAAGTAGATCAGTTACCAAACAAAGAATAATTTGAAAGAATTCTCTAAAGTCTCCTGACCAAAACATTTCTTCTGTTATACCACTAACAACTGAAATGTCATTACCAACAGAGGCCCCTCCAGCACTGTTGTTTTATGGCAGTCCTGGACACTGAGGATAAAATCCAGGGGCATGATACCACATCCTCAGCCCAGATAGAATCTCACTGAGTCACCCACACTGGCCAGCGCACCAGGCAGCACTGTCCTTTCTTATTACAAGGCATATAGGCCCAGGAGGGTAGTGTGGTTTCCAAACATGCCAGGCAGCCGAATGATAAGCAAAAGCATGTAGTGAGCCCGCAAAGAACTCTGCCCAAATGCAGACTCACAGGGAGGTTTGACCAAGGAAAAGCAAGAGGGAACCCAGAAAGCAGTAGGAGGAAAGCAGTGCTCCAACGGAAGCCGAGTGTGACCGAATTGCGCAGGTTTTCCTGCAGACAAAGGAGTACTGACACTGCCCTGTAAGGATATAGCAAGTAGAGGAGAAAGAATGCAAGGAAAAGGATAATGTCGAGATAGCACTTAATAAAGAAGGGACAAGGTTGTAACATCTTTTGTCATTTAATCTTTCCTTCATCCCTTGCTGCTCACATACCACCTTATCTCAGTTCTTAACTATTTTCTGAAGAGAAGGTAGTCACACAAGACCAGAGATCTTAAAGTTTGTGTCAGTCTTGGCCTGTGCTCCAGCTTCATCCTAAACTACATAAAAGAATAAAAAAAGTTTCATCTCTTTATTCTGAAAATATTATGGGGTATGAGCAGGTCCTTCTTTGCGCTCTAGTGTAGTGAGTGAGGCAGAACAGAGCCCCAAGGACATGAAAGTGTCATCTCAGAGAACTAGAAGTAGCTATCATTAGGCCTTTACAGGTCTGTGTCAAATCACGGGTGTGTCCTCAGGTGTGGTAGGGCACTGGGCTCAGTCCTTCCAGAATGGGGTAGAAAAACTGCTTTGAGAAGACAACTGAGCAAGAGGACGTGGTCCCAGAAAGGTCTGATGGGAGAAATTAGAGCACATGAAGATAGACATAGACATTTTCTTTCTGCTACCTAAGAGCAGAGGCACTAGCAAGGGGCCAAGTAGGTAGCAGCCACTTGGGCTCCCTCAGGGAGGCAGCTGCCCACTCCAGGAGTGCAGGAGTGGTCACTAGGCATTGTCAGAATGTGGAATGTTAGCCACAAGAAGGGAAACGAAATGCTCCAGCTTCTTGGCAGCTTGCTTCCCGGCTTCTAGAACCTCCTCATGATTGGCCTTCTCCCGGCACTCATAGTCCGTGACAACTTTGTTTGTGATGAGTGAAAAGCCAAAGACTCGAAGTCCACAGTGCCGCGCAACCAAAACTTCTGGTACTGTGCTCATGCCTGACAGGAGGAACAAAGACAGCAACTGTTAGGCTCTGAAGTGGTTTGTTTTTTCTTTTTTTTTTTTTTGGTGGAACTGGGGATTGAACTCAGGCCCTTGTGCTTGCCAAGGAAGCACTTACTCTACTGAGCCATCTCCCCAGCCCTCTGAAGTGGTTTTGTCACCTGTTGGTCTCATCATTCTTCAAAAAGAATCCTGAGAAGCAGCTAAATCAGTATCAAGCTTATGTTACGCTGGATAGCTTGAAATAAGTGAGACCCCAGAAGGTCTTATGTATTTCTTATAAATATTGCCAATACCATGAATATTTCTGCATTTGTGGTAATGTCAAAATCTATTCTAATGTCAGAGGTCTATCTTCCACCCAGAGGTGCAGAAGTTGATTGCACTGATGTGTGTTAGAATAACTCTCCGGATGAGTCAAATCATGAGCGGATGACTAGCACGGAAGCCATCTAGCACACCTCCCCACTTTGTTTTCCTACAAGTCAATTTAATTTATCTTTCTATTAAGTCAAACCCTCTTTGGGGCCGGGGAGATGGCTCAGTGGAATAAGTGCTTCCTTGGCAAGCGCAAGGGCCTGAGTTTAATTTCTGGTTCTGTCAAATCCTCTTTAAGTTCTGTTAGGTCTGTAATCTGCTTTTCCCCATTGCTTTAACCAGGTTCTCCCCTCAAGCCGCCAGCCGAAGTCTCCTCTCCTCACCAACAGCATCCGCCCCCAGCTTCTGCAGCAGGCGACACTCTGCCACAGTCTCAAAGTTGGGGCCGGCCAACATCACATAGGTGCCTTCCTGGAGCTCCCGCTTCTCCCCAATTTCTTTCCAGACACTGAATGCTTTCTGCCTCATATGCCGGTCGTACGCATCAGACATAGCAGGGAAACGATCTCCAAACCTAGATCAAAAGATGGATTATCTCAGATAAATGAAATTAAATGAGTTGGTTCCTAACCCCTAGACAAGTCCCTAAACCCTACCTATTTGGAAACAAAGAAGCAAGACACATACCTTTCATCATTGGGCCCTTTGAGAGGATTCTGACCAGAGAAACCAGGTAGATTGATATGATCACGGATCAGCATGATGTCTCCAACCTCAAACTTGGGGTTGAGCCCTCCAGCTGCATTGGTGACTACCAGGGTATCCACTCCCAGAAGCCGGAAAACCCTCACAGGGAATGTCACCTCAGAAGCAAAAGATCAAAAAGATTTCAATCTATACTGATGTACACAACACACCATGAGAGAGGAGATTAAAGAGGAACAAAAATCTACCTAGGCCAAATAGGTAGGCAATTAGTGTGGCCTAGAAGGGTGCCTCCCCCTCCCTGACTCCTCCCTTCTCTCTACTTCTGGGCCACCATGATGTGAGCAGCCGTCCTCTGCCCCACCCCCTCCACTGCAGCTGACTGCAGACTGAAACCCCTCTTCCTCTGAGTCATGGCTGTTGGCTATTTTGCCCCTGCAACGAGACAGTGACAGGACAGCAATAGGAAGGATATTTTCTCTCCCCCTCGGTTCAGATCCATAGAGGCCTATGACCCCGATTACCTGCCAGAGCGAGTATCCTTCATACATGTGGAATCTGCCCTGCATCATCACGCAGGATTTACCATTCAGGAATCCAAACACGAGCCGACCAGCATGGCCTGGCACTGGACACAAAGAGGAAAGGAGAGTGAACGGGGTTGTGCACTCGTGGCACATACTGCTGAGCATTACAATGTGCCACTCAGCGTATTCTACGCACAAGGTTACAAAGAAGGACATTAGAAGTCCATGAAGATGATCATAATCATACTAGGAACTTAGAACTAGACCTATGGCGGGCAGCATGCTCAGTATGAACATAAAAAAGGAAAAGTTTTTAGAACAAATATCAAAAGAATGAGAAAGACATACTGCTATTGGGATAAAAGTGGGTAATACCGAATGCTGTCATTATAGGCCGCTCCTAAATTTGTCAGGGACAAAAGTCCAAATTTGAACCCATGCAACTCTCCTTCCTCCTGAGCACACCAGTCCCGTGGGAATGCAGTCATGAAGCTGCCTATCGGGGCCTGGAAATACAAAGATAACTCCCCATAGACAAAATACTGATGTTCACCTTTTTTCTTTTCTGGCAATTTCCAATGATGTGACCAATTTATTCCTTAAGGAATTGATAGTTTGGGCAAGGGACCAGAATCAACAGGATGTGATCAGAAGAGATTATAAAGTTACTAGTAACAGCAAAACTCAGTGTGAAAACCCGACTGAAGTAGTTTAAAACAACAACAGCAACAAAAAGAAAACCCAGGTACTGGTAGCCTGTAGTCCCAGCACCTGGGAGGTGAGGCAGGAGGACTGCCACAAATTCAAGACCGATCTGGGCTAAAAAGTGAATTCAAGTCCAGCCAGAACCTCACAGAGAGATCCTATCTCAAAATAAACAGGCAAACCTAAAATTATCCCTTTGTGCAGTGCCCTTCTTATAAGAGGTAGGAGTGGCAAATGAGCCAGTGTCTCTACCATCTCCCTGCCAATTCCGCCCTCCTGTGGCCCTCACTCTTTCTAACAGTTCCTTCTCCAAAACCTGTTTCCATGTTTCCTGCTCTGGCCCCCCAATCTAACTCCAAAAGTTTTCAAATGTTTATTAAAAGTCTTAACTATTCAGGAAATTGGGGAAGATTGAAAGGTTAATAAGGAAGATTATTAAAAAGTTAATAAATAAACCAATGGAAGTTAATTATTTGAGAATAACTGAACCAAATAAATTAACCTTATCCACTTTTTTTTTTTTTTTTTTCCTTTAGTCTTTTGAGACAGGGTCCCTCTGTATAGTTCCAGTTGGCCTTGAACTCATTTTGTAATCCAGGCTGGCCTCAAACTCATGGCAATTGTTCTGCCTTAGCTTCCCGAGTGCTGGAATTACAGGCGTGTGCTACCATGCCCAGACATCTTATCTCCCCCCCAACACACTCGGCCCTTCTGCCTGTTCCTGTTGCTGTCATGGGATCTTCAAAACACTTACCACATACTAAAAGAAAGAAAAAAATTACCTTATCTTTTACTTGCGCTGTTTCACCTAGTTTTTTCTGGTCCTGAGAATTGAAACCCAGACCTTTGCACTGAGCTCCTTCCCAGCCCTTTCTATTTTTTTATATAGCTAATACACTACGTGGGCTCAACCCTGCACTCTTTCAGGCTCAGCCTCCCGGAGCACTGGGATGATAGGTGTCCGCCACCTTGTCTAGCTTCACCTAGCCCTAAGAGTTTTCTGGCTATTCGAGTCCTCGATATGCTGCCTTTGGACTCTCAGTGGTCCACCATGAATCCTTTCCCCTCCTGAGAGGTAAATGTGAATTAGGTGTTGTATATTAGCTCACATGTAAATGTGAATTAGGTGTTGTATATTAGCTCACTGTTAGCAACACAGTGGCTTGTATGTTCACTTGTTGCTGTGCAGTGTGTGTATTATCCTAAGCCTGGAGCTGGAGAGAGGAAGGGGCCTGACTTTGTCCTGGAAGGCTATAGATAGTATTTTTCCCATTTAAGGTACAGGGCAAAAGGGCTGGTGAGATAGCTCAGGAGAGTAAGCGCCTGCTTAGGCAAGTGCAGGGACCAGGATTTCAACCCCGCCCCTGGGCCACTGAGTCCGGGCCTGGTGGCTCAGGCCTGTAATCCCAGGGCTGGAGAGGCTGAAAACAGGAGAATCACCACAAGTCCGAGCTGCATAGTGAGAC